AGCCGGTTGCCTGTACTTGGCGCGAGACTCGACCGAGTCTCTTGATAGTAACCAATCACAACTAGGCTCAGTGTACCTCGGCACCCCTCCCTGGACGGCTTTCCCCCGCAGGGTTATGCTACATCTATGTTTTTCTATATCTATGCCAAAACACAGCTCCAGATTCTCACGCGTAGTATTATTATATATACTCGACCAATCAAAAACGTGGAACTGCTTCGAGGGCCCTCCGCTAAGGTGACGCACCGAAACCAGAGTAAAATTGAGACCACCAAAAATAGGCCCATTGGCAATCTCCCTACTCATCCTGGTCCTTATGATTTGCTCTCTCTTTCTATTCCCTGTTACACTTTCTGCGGCTACAGTGAGCAGTCCAGTACTATATGTCGATGGTTCACCTATTTTAAAATTGTGAATCTTGAGGAACACACGAATTTCACGTATAGTCATTCAACCAATCAAAAATGTGGAACTGCTTCCAGGGTCCTCCGCTAAGGTGGCGCAACAACACCAGAATAAAAATGAGACCACTGGGACGTCCTGATCGTCTCCACTGTCGTTTTCGCGGCAGATTCGACTGCGTGAATCTGGCGAGGTGGGTTCGTTAGCCACCAAAGCTCTGACGAGTACTCCAACGGTGTTCAATCTTCTGTAGATATGTTGATTTCTGGTACGATGATGTTATGGGTTTTCAACTGAATAAAGGCTTTAGAAATAAAAAATGCAGGTGCTTTTGGAGAGCACTATAACTAACTTTAGTTACTTTAACTATAACGTGATTTAGTCTAAATCAATCTATCTTAACTGAATCTAGCTAATTGACTCTACGATATAGACTCGAAGTACACCCTTCAAGACCAGAAATCGAACTGCCCTTCTGGATCCCAAGGGATACAGTCCTTCATACTTCTCATGCATGCATCGGCAATGATACACATTTATGTGTATGTACACCCTTTGTGGAGTCCCAGCGTGTGGCGCCTTGCTGTCCGGGCCCAAGATCAAGGGCCTTGTCTTACGCGCAAAGGGCTCATGCACACCCTATCCTTAGTTTGTTTGGGGAAGCACATGGACAGCGTCATCCCTTAACCGAATTCAGCTAGCCCGTCGACACTCTCAAGTGACTTGATTTATTGCCAGGAGTGAACGTTCCTGAGAAACTCATTCGGTTAGGATAGCGATAAACAAATGGCCCATGCATATATTCTTTGTAGTCCATATGTTTATGCACGTGTAGCGGCTAGAAAGCTTTCTCCGAATTGTTTAGAATATACCCTATTTATGCGTTAATGACAGACTGAGTATTTGAAAGCATTGATTTCTTATTTGGAGACAGAAATCGTGATTCCATTTTAATCCCTCATTTGAATTCGCCGCTCAATTCTAGTGAGATTATTTATCACCACGAATAATAGTGTTATGTCGCGGCCTAGTGATAAATAATCTCACTAGAATTGGGCAGCGAATTCGAATGAGGGATTATAATGGAATCACGATTTCTGTCTCCAAATCAGAATTCAATGCTTTCAAATACTCAGTCCGTCATTCACGCATAAATAAGGTATATTCTAAACAATTCGGAGAAAGCTTTCTAGCCGCTACACGTGCATAAACATATGGACTACAAAGAATATATGCATGGGCCATTTGTTTATCGCTATCCTAACCGAATGAGTTTCTCAGGAACGTTCACTCCTGGCAATAAATCAAGTCACTTGAGAG